TGTCACTATTAGAGCTGAAAGAATGATACTCCTATGAGTCTACCCTAATTCACAGTGAACATAGGGTGCTTGCATTTTGATGCAAACTTGTGGTTGGGTTGTTTGTTCGTTATAGTGCATTGTCTGTGTTTAATGTTGTTTAACAACATTGGGGTTGTTCTCTAAACATCAGATGAAACACCTGTGAAAAAGACCCAACTCTGACCGCATTGGCAATTATCATATTTACTAAATACAAATGCAGCCACAATTCGGTTGGCCTGAGCAAATCTGCAATAAACGTCTGGCTGCATTCGGTGTCGAGTTTAAAATCGGTGCTATGACAAAGCTCAGATTTTAAACTGAATTGACACCGAATGTATCCAGCAGGATAAACATTTGCAAATTATTGTTCTCTTGATTTCATGCATGTGAATTATAGTTAAAAGTACTATTTGCACATGGACAGCACCAGCAGCCAATGGGCAAATAGTTAAATAACCCGTCTAACAAGGGTTATTTATGTGGAGGCTGGCACAAGAGACAAGCGATGATAAGCAAAGTATCTGTGTCATAGATTGCATAGTTTGGTAATTATATTTTTGTAAAAAACATACCGTACTCACAGCATCACAATCGCTACAGCTCTTTGTAATGTTTATGGTGCTGTAATTGTATAGTATACATTGTAGTGATTATGGTGCTGGAAGCTTTTTACCTGAGATAAGCCCAGTGGTGCCAGGCTTTGCTTATTGTCTAAGAGTGATCAGAGACTCTTCTAGATTGTGTTACAGGGCAGGAGTATGTAGGTGATTATTGTGGTGGCAAGAAATCGTCTACATAACTCAGAAATCATGTACATACTCTGGCCATGCTATGATCTGACTTTATGTCCCTCGTAGTTCCATATGACCATTTTGTTAGACATTTAGATGTCTCCTCTGCTTTCCACCAAAGTTCTGGTTATGTTATCGATCTCTATATTGTTAGGCTTCATGGTGCTTGTAGTTCTGCATGCTTATTTTTCTTATAAATTGCATGCTAAAAAGTAACATTTTGCTACAAATCACCAATGTGTCTAGGAAGCCCCACAGTTATCGTTTATAATGATCGTATTTATAAAATACAAAATACACTTTATTTTTCACATCTTTCCTATGTACTATGCTGGTCTCATGTACATGACATCCACCCACCTCCTTTCAAATGTGTAGTGCCCTATAATTCCACTGTTTTTAAGAGCCTCAGTTTCTTAATCCTGAAAAAGTTCTTTGCTGCAAAATTTTTATTTTTGTATGTGTATTGTTCATAATTTTTTTTTAAATTAGTATTTATTTTTATATCTATTTGGTCCTGTATTTCCAAACAAACCTTGTATTCCCTGGCTATATTACCTTTGGGACTTACCTCTATATATCCCAGGTAGGAATTACAACACCTATGCTGTCATCAGAGAGCAATTAGATTGGTCCTAAATATGTAAGTACTGTTTTTTCTTATTCTTTCACATCTATAATACGGAGAGCACTATATATTTTTCCTGTGTTTATATCCCATATCCCACAGGTAAGACAATATGCAAATATATTATAGCCACAAGAGGGAGCAAAAAATGTATAAAAATAAAATTAAAATATAGACTGCTATTTTAGCTCAAATGCTACAAAAACCGGGTGACTCACTACAATATAAACAAATAAGTAAATTAAAGTTAACGGAGCAGCACTATAGAAATTGTAAGTTCAAATATACATATAGAAAGCTTATATATTTATTAAAAATCAATATAAAAACAAAGTAGTAAAATAAAGCCAAATGAGATTCAATAATATTTTCCGTTTAAACATAAATCTGGTCACAAGTTCAAATAGTGCAATACACCCGCAGGGCTAAATGTTAAAGCCGATGTAAAATAATTATCCAGGGGCAGGTTAGAAATGCAGCTAGTTTTGAACAGGGCATGGCATCTAAAGGATTATAGGTAGTAGGATAATGAATCCGCACTCCATGAAGAACCGCAGAAAATCCAAGAAGCAAATCCATGCGTACGAGTTTAATAAAATATTCAATGTTGATAAAGTGTCTGTAATAGACGTGAAACACGTCCAGTGTCCCTCAAGGTTTTTTCTTTTGTTTTTTTTCCCCTCCTTCTTACAGATGTATGGATTTTTTAAAATATTTTTTCTTTTTTGTCGCTTGTATATGATCCATTTCACACATATGGCCTCTAGTCGTGGTTTTGTAATATTTTATTAAAATTGTACGTGTGTGGGTTTGCTACTTGGATTTCCTTTGGATCTACTTGGAGCGCAGTTTAATTACCCTACTGCCTATAGTCCTTTTTACGTGGCGCTAAGATGCCAGCACCTTATATCTGGATTTGCAATATGGATAGGATGTAAGTGGTTTTATTTTTGTTTTTAATTTTTTTCCATAATTTTGGAGTTGTGATACAAATGTACATGTTGGTTATTTGATGGCATCTAATGGTGTTAAGTGGGTAGAGCCCAACAAGTCAGGTTGGGCAGTACCATCATCTTTAAACTTCACCAGACGTCACTGCCTGTTTACCTACCTGCTCTAAAGAATACCTTCCATTCAGCTGACTGGTCAAATGTAATCAGAGTTATCTTCTGTGGCCAAATCTGGTGTCTGGCTTTCCTCATCCTATTTCGACCCATGGTATAAATATATTCTGTTCAAATATAACATGTCTTGACAACAAAGCTATCCTTTTGGTGAGTGGTTTAAACATGGACGTTAACTGCAGCCACTGGACAGTTACTATTAACTTGACAAAGAGCTGTATTCATTTGTTCAATTAAGCAAATTAACTAAAGATAAGTGCAGCTCTCTTATAGAAACTTGAAGCACATTCTATAGATGATCCATGACGATTTGTAATGATACAAACCATGTATTGCTGTGCAATCTACATTCTGCTCCAGTGAAAACAAGACAGGGATGAGTACATTACGAGTATGAGTATTATATAATGTATTTAGAGGATTCAACAATTGCCGATTCTAAATTACCAAGCTACAGTATCTCTCAAGTTTGATTTTCTTCACTTTTTGAGTGCTTCAATCATGTTCATATTATGACATTTAGTTAGGAGTTATACTTGTACCATGAAATCGCAGAATAATAGAATGTTGATGTAGCTGCATTGATTTTTATCAGATTGCTGCTACTGTACTAGATAGATTACAGGGAGACAGCAACAGAGAACTCATTATATTGCAATATATGCAAGGGATTATGGTGCTTGAAAATTTTCTAAATAGAGTCAGCATAACCAGGCATGCATGCTTTATGTGTGATGGATAATTGCAAGAAACTCGAAGTCTGAACTAGAGTATGATTATGCTCATCAAGAAATGATTGCCTGTTTGTGGCTTTTAAGCAGTTCATGTCCAATTACATATTAGGACTGTCCTAGTAACAAGGTATAACTTTAGCCCTAAATTATTTAACCAGCAGTGCCAATAATTTACTAAGAATAGGAAGAACCAAAACATAGTTAAAGGGACACTATAGTCACCTAAACAACTTTAGCTTAATGAAGCAGTTTTGGTGTATAGAACATGCCCCTGCAGCCTCACTGCTCAATCCTCTGCCATTTAGGAGTTAAATCCCTTTGTTTATGAACCCTAGTCACACCTCCCTGCATGTGATTTGCACAGCCTTCCATAAACACTTCCTGTAAAGAGAGCCCTATTTAGGCTTTCTTTATTGCAAGTTCTGTTTAATTAAGATTTGCTTATCCCCTGCTATGTTAATATCTTGCTAGACCCTGCAAGAGCCTCCTGTATGCGATTAAAGTTCAATTTAGAGATTGAGATACAATTATTTAAGGTAAATTACATCTGTTTGAAAGTGAAACCAGTTTTTTTTTTTCATGCAGGCTCTGTCAATCATAGCCAGGGGAGGTGTGGCTAGGGCTGCATAAACAGAAACAAAGTGATTTAACTCCTAAATGGCAGTGAATTGAGCAGTGAACTTGCAGGGGGATGATCTATACACTAAAACTGCTTTATTTAGCTAAAGTAATTTAGTTGACTATAGTGTTCCTTTAATTATAATTCTCAGGTTAACTTAATTAGTAAACAATATGGACAGATTTGGAGCCATTTTAAATGTCTCCCGACCTAGATAGTACACAAGATAAATTAGATTTTTGCAAGGTTCAGTCTTCATCCACTGTCTGTAGAAGTATGCAATGATTTTGTGGGTTTACGAGAATTAGAGAAGGGTGAAAAATCTGATGAGTTTGTATGATAAGTCAAATAACATAACTGTCAAGGGTAGGTAGCCATGGTCAGGACTAGTAAAAACTAGGAAGCGTTAGGAGCTTAATGCACCAGAGAAAGAGACGTCAGATCATCCGAAGGGCAGCCCATTATAATTGGATTAGCCTTAATTTTACAAGACAAGTCACATGGAGATTCCTCAGCTGTTTGACTGTTCTAATTAGTAACAGATCTGGAGAGATAGAGGATACTGGAGTATATGTTAAAAGCTTGAATATGAGCCTTGGATGCCATTGGAATGAATACATTAGGAATCTAAGATTAGTGATGGTAATAATGTTTTTTTAATGCATTTCTTGTTTCAGGCAGGTTTATAAAAGCTAAATGTTTTGTTTGTTTGCTGTAGAGTCTGTTAGAGACGCTGACCAAACGGAATTGGAGACTGTCCTTTTTAGACACCTCGCTAAAAAAAGTCATTTTAATTATCAGTTATCAAGCTCGGGGCCGAATTAATATTTTTACATATTCTACATAAAAAGAACATGGCTGCACGGTTTAGGTCTACAAAGTTGCATCTGAACAAACCACAAGACTTCTGGAACAATGTCCTTTGAACAGACGAGAGCAAAGTGGAGACGTTTGGCCATAATGCACAGCGCTACGTTTGGCGAAAACCAAATACAGCGTATCCACACAAACACCATATACCAACTGTCAGGCACGGTGGTGATGGGGTGATGATTTGGACTTGTTTTTCATCCACAGGATCTGGGAACACTGCAGTCATTGAGTCGATCATGAGCTCCTCTGAATAGCAAAGTGTGCTAGAGTCAAACGTGAGGCCATCTGTCGGACAGCTAAAGCTTGGTCGAAACTGGCTCATGCAACAGGACAATGATCCCAAGCATACCAACAAATGTACAGCAGAATGGCTGAAAAAGAAAAGAATCAAGGAGTTGCAAAGTCCAGACCTCAACCCGATTTAAATGTGTGGCAGGACCTTAAAAGCGCTGTGCATAAACCTCAATGAACTGAAATGTTGTAAAGAAGAGTGGGACAGAATTCCTCCACAACGATGTGAGGGACTGATAAAGACATTCAGAAAACGATTACTTCAAGTTATTGCTGATAAAGGAGGTTGTACAAGCTATTGAATCATAAGATGTACTTAGTTTTTCCCATATAGTGTCTCCATTTTGGCTTTATTTTTGTTAAATAAATAATTACACGGTGTAATATGTGTTGTTTATCTAATGAGGTTGTATTTACCTAATTTGTAGACCTGCTAAGGAACAGATGATTGTTAATATGTCCTGATTTGTAAAACCATAGAATGCAAAGAGTGTACTTTCCTTTTCTCATGATTATATATATAAAAGTAGGTTGAAATATACATAAGAATGCATTTGAAAATTAGATTAAATGATATGAATGTGATAAAGCATGGCAAATTGAAAGGAATGGCATAACTTGGCTGAAATGTATAAAATTGGGTGAAATGGCATGTTTAGGGATAGCATGGCAAATGGATTGAAACTAGATATGCACAGAAGGATGGAATAATAAATAGGATTAAAAGGCATCTGTTAGACAAAATGTGGATGCTGAAATGAGATGGCCTATATGGAATTAAATAGCATAAATCACATATGATGTGGAATAATAGTAATTGTAGCAAATGGAATAAAATTATAAACATGTGAACAAATATGGCTGGTGAGATTAAATGGCATGCATTGTATAAGATATAACAAATTGGATGAAATTACAAATGATGGACAGTATTAGGAAATGTAACACAAATTAGATGAAATGGCATATGTGAGATTTGATTTGGCCGTGGAAATAAATGTCACATATTACATGAAATTTGCATATGGGTAGAAACTGCATATGGTATTATTATGGTATGACATGGCAAATGGACCGAAATAGTGATGTATGTATCGTAATATGGCAGATTGAAGACGTACGGTTAAAGGGTGGCATGAGGGGGATAAAATATAGCTCTGTGTAAAATGCTTTTATTTTCCTGCATTTTTGTTAAATCATCATTAGTTACTGTTTAGTGAATCAACAACTGAGATAAATTGCAAGTACGTTCTGAAATACTCATCTTTACTTTATTCAATTTAAAATATTGAAACACAATAATGAAAAATACACTGAAACTATTATTTCAAATAAAAGTGTTTATTTTATTAACACCAGAATGATAATTACAGTTGTGTGATTTTTTTTTAACGATCAGGCCCCAGGGTAAAATATTTCCTAAATCATTTTACTGGCTTCATCTTTCAGACTGCCAATGTTTATAATAAAACCAATAGGTGTTATTCTAAGTGCAATGAAAGACTGAATAATAACATTTAGCCTTTTTTTCCTGTAATTATGTCTTGGTTATTCTAGTTTAAAAAAATCTCCCCGTACTACTCATAGAACACAAAAACTGAAAAAATGAAAGTAAATACATTGTTGCTTTTTCTTAATTTGTATTCCGAGTATTTTAATGATCGAATTTAGTGAAATCTGTTCATCTGCTTTTGTTCATTCCTGTTATAATGAACGGTTTGTTCAAAAATTTGTTGCATCTGACAGTTATTTATTTTGTGACAGTGTGTGGATTTTGCCATTTTAGTCTTAAGTGAACTTCAATAACAGCTAATAGACAAAAGCTGAGTTTACTCTGTCGAGCACAAATGCAGCAAATTAAATTGTTCTAAGCTCGGTGTCATGGAGAACGTTTAAAGAAACTGTGTTCAAAAACGCTTTTTGCAGAGAGAGATTCCTGCACAAGAAGCACATTATAATATTGTAAATGCTCAAGCCACCAGTTTCATCGACAATTAAAAGTGCAATCTAAGTACCATAACCATTACAGCTTAGTAATGGTTACGTTGCAAACTGTTTTGCCATATTTGTCAAAATATTATCAGCTCATACTTAAGTTCATTTCCTAATTAGCCTTCCAAATTTAGGCAGCAGTTTAGCACAGCTGTCTCAGCCTATCACGATCACCAAAGCAGAAGATAAAGAACCAGGTTATAGGTGTCAAAAGATACATTTTATTTTTATATATTTTTATTTTTTTATTTATTTTACTATTCAAAAACAATTGAAAAAGCATGCCAACACAGTTCTTTTCCACTGTGGGTATTATGATCTAATAGTTGCAATTTATGTATCAGATCTACTCTATTACAGGTTTCACTATAAAGCCCACTACATGATACAAAGAATTTTTTTCCCGAATTCCTGTTTTTTTTTCTGCAGGAACATGATAAGGAATACTTTGCTTTCCATGAAAGTCCTATATTAAACTCACTGTATATGTAGATTCTCTAAAAAAAGAGAGGAAACATTTTCCCGGTGGATATAATGCTTGACTGAGTATGAAACATCTTTCCTAGTGACTGTCAAACCAAAATGTTATGCTATTATTCAGTATACGAAAATAGCTGTTAAAGGTAATTATAATGCCATAGGATTATATTTACATTTTTATATGTACTTTAAAAGAACAGTCAGTCCTAATATTGTGTGCAATGAAAAATAAATATTCTTTAAACGCTATATAGCCTGATCCCATTCCAAGCCAATGAACCCAGCTGACTGAGGAATGAATTGATATGAATTCACATTGGTTTCCTCTTCACCTGCTCTTTCACTCAAGTCTTTCATAGATTATTAAACTATTTTTACATGGACTGGACCTTTCTCTGTAAAGACAAATCCACTATACAGCTCTGTGTCAAATGGTTCTCGCTATTTCCCATTTACCAAGGAGGATTCAAAGCAACTTATGATCCTCTTTCCAATGTAATGCATGTTATATATTGAAAACTCCCATAATTAGGGAACCAAAATGTGAAGGAAGAGCCAACCCAAATCTCTTTACTATATCCGTAGACCCAGAAACATTTTAACAAAAAAAAAAAAAAATAGACGTAAATACACAACGTTCTGTTTCCTTAGTAAGAGTTTAGTCTACGTACTTAATAGTAATTTCTCTATTAAAGTCTATGGTAAAGTTACTATTCAAGGAGCAGAGTTAAAGGGAAACTATAGTTGTTTTCCTGGCACTGTAACTCCCTATTGTGCCCCCCTCACTAGCTACTAAGAAGAGGTTAAAACCCCTTCTGTCACTTACCCGATTCCAGGACCGATGTCCCTGTGTGCTGGTTCAGGCTCTGCCTCCACTCTTCCTCCGATGTTGGGGCCTTAATGTGCATGTGCGACGAGCACTGCCCTTGCATTAGGACTTCCAAAATAGAAAAGCATTGTATAATGCTTTTCTGTGGGATTATGGGTGACGCTGGATATCCTCATGTATAGCGACAGTTAGGCTTAACAACCCGGAAGTCCCTGTAGTAGCTGTCTGTTAGACAGTCACTAGAGGTGGAGTTAACCCTGAAAGGTAATTATTGCAGTTTATCAAAAACATCAATAATTACCATTGCAAGGTTAAGGGACCTGGGACACTGCATCAGCTGAAGTCGTCTGGGTGCCTATATTAGTGTCCCTTTAACCTCTTACTCTGCTAAAAGAATCCAACCCATAGGGTTAGATTTTCTTATAAAAGATAAGCTTGTCTTTTGTAATTAAATATCATTTATCCAATATAGTTAACAGCTATTACCAGAGCTTATCCAGCCTGTAATCTCCTTTATAATAAGGCCTTACAATGTGCTATCTGCTAGACACTGATTGAGACATTAAACCACATTTCAAAATGTGCATGATCTGTTTATCTGTAATTTGCAATAGCTATGTAGAAAATGTCAACTACACCTGCCATGTTTTGTTATGTTTTCACGTTATACCTAGCTTAAATAAAGCTAGTTGAAAAAAAAGGATAAGAATTACCTATTCCTGATTCTCTGAGATAGAATTTAAACCTTATCGAAGTATTTCAGTAACTAACTCTGAATACCAGTAACAGTTACTTTTAACCTCTCTTTAATATAAACATATCACATTTGTTATGTCATACTTTTTTTAATCAAGCTAATAAAAGCTTTATTTTTTATATTTTTTTTATTAATTAGTCTTTTTAGATTAATATTATTCTAGTGAAATGTAAAATAAAAATGTCTCTTGAGCACAATTCCCATGATTCCTATCTTATCTTGGCCAAACTGCCGGTCAAATCCCCACAATGAATCCCCTTCAAAGTCGCTGAGGACTCATCAAGCTGACTGTAAAGGACAGAACGAATCCTGTGAAAAATAAGTAGAATTAAAAAACGAGAGCTTGTTTACTTTTAAGAAAAAAAAACGAAAACATACTTGGCTGATAAAGGTCTGAGATTAAATGTCAAAGTGTGGCAGATAAAAACACAATTCTAATGAAATCATCCCTAATAAAAAAAAAAATACAGTTACAGGTGTCCTTGGGGCTTTGGAAACAAATATGTACTTAATTCAGCAGTAGTCATCTTAAACTGATTCTGAGACATATGTTGACACTTAGTTGACCATTAAACAATATGTCTTAAAGGGCCAGTGTAAGCATAATATCCATTGCAGTTTAGTGAATTGATTATGATTTCAGGAGTCTCTGCGGGTCATCTCCATTTAGTTCCAGTTAGACAAAAAAATAATAATCAAGGCTCTCCTCACCCCCAAAGACTGCTCCCCTTTTACACCTACAGAATTTACACATCCACATTACCAATATCAAATGTGCCCAACCTGGATAACGATGACTTTGGTAGACTGAAAGCGGTGGGGAGGGAGGGAGGGGGGGGGGTATATAACAGTCAGGCTGTGCAAGTATCTCACATGTGACTGTTTTAAAAAGCTGAATCACCTCGTTACTGTGCTAATGTTGTTAATTATGATTTTGTCAAAACCAGAGGTTATATTAAGTTTTTATACTTCACATTAATAACCAGATTCAATGTACAGGTGTTTTGTAGTCTAGTAGGCCTAGCTTGTGGACCGTATTGAAGGCAGGGCGGATCACTGTAAACACTAATCTTGTCTGTCATTCCAGACTGATTGATACATGAGTGATGGGAATGTAAGGGAGCATTTGCTGGAGATTCAGATTACATGCCTCGTAATAGTGAGGGAGCATGGAATTGGTCAGGAAAACTTCATTTTTTTCTTAAACTAACTTATTCTTTCTTTGTTCCAAATGTTGTAAGTGTATTAGACTACACAATGTGATATCCCAACTGGCTTATGTTTCTGCAAGGTGCCCCCACAGAGGTGGAACTCAAGACGGAAGCTTTTTTTGCCTTAGAAGGTTCAGCCATGCTAATCACACGGCAAACTGTATTATATGTTTTATATGTACATTTTTACATTTCTCACTACTTTTAACTTACAGAGAAGAAAATGCCTCATTTTATCAAAGTTACTGACAGATAAGAAAAGAATCCTAAGGTTATCAGATATTTTAGTCTTTTTTTCAGTAGCTGCATAATTCGGTTTGGGAGTACTGCAACCCTTTAATGTGACCAGGCTGAGTACTTTTACGCTTTGTCTTCTGACTACTGCTAGAGCCACAAATCTAGTTATTCTGTAAAAATCAATTTCTCACTGCTTGCACTTATATGCACGTATAATATCCTTCTTCCTGCCAGAAACTGGATGAATATCAGCCATGTACTCTCTAGCTGAGCTATGTGCGGTAGGTTTGCCTTTAAAATGAAGCTTGGCTCCAAAAAGCGCTAATATTTATATATATATTTCACTCATTGCACAGAGATTACCCCTTTGACTTAGAATAGAGTAAACTTACAAGATAACTCTCACACATATTCTACAACTTACTCCATCTGCTTTCTGTTTTAGATAGGGCATTATATTTGCTTCTTTTAATATAGTTACAGTTGGGTCTGGAAATATTTGGACACTTACACAATTTTTATAATTTTGTCTCTGTCAATTCCACCACAATAGATTTCAAATGATGCAATTGAAGTTCCGACTTTCAGCTTTAATTTAAAGAGTTAAACAAAAATAGTGTGTGAAACGTTTAGGAACTGCAACCATTTTCATACACAGTCCACTTTTTTTTTTAACAGCGGGGATACCCGACAGTGTTTAATTTTGATCCTTTTCTGTTAACCACCCCTCCCCTCTTTTCCCAAATCTACTTTCAGTCTTTTTATCCCCATCAACAATATTTCTCTGCCACTCTTTCCCCTTTCATTTTTGTCATATATAATTTTTAAATTTTTTTAAAATAATTTTTTATAGAATTTTTTTTTCATAATTACAAAAATTCACAATACATACAACATACATAATATAAACGATTGATACAGAGGAGACATCCTCATAAATAAGATAAACATCATGTACATACCAAATTCAATCGAGTATATAGAAGAGTAAAAAAAAAATTAATGGTGTGTGGCAGAGGCTGTGTTTATTAATGAGGTGTGGCAGAGGTTGTGTTGTGTTTATGTTTGTGGTGGGATGTGGGGAGGATGTGTGTCTAGTGGAGTGGCTGTGTGTGTAAATGCTTTGTTTGTGTGCGGTGTGTTTGTATATGTGAGTATATGAGAGAAGGAAGCTGTGTGTGATATAGAAAGTAAAAAAAAAATAGATCACATGCATTTTTATTCCCTCCTGCTTACTATTAATCCCTTTTGAAGTGTGAATAATAAAGTTATCGGTAGAAACCCATGCCTGTTTATATTGTGATTGGACATCTCTATCTTAGATCCCTCACAGTCATAGTTATGTTTGTGGTGGGATGTGGGGAGGATGTGTGTCTAGTGGAGTGGCTGTGTGTGTAAATGCTTTGTTTGTGTGCGGTGTGTTTGTATATGTGAGTATATGAGAGAAGGAAGCTGTGTGTGATATAGAAAGTAAAAAAAAAATAGATCACATGCATTTTTATTCCCTCCTGCTTACTATTAATCTTAATATCCCTGGTGGTGGGCTTCACTGGTGGTTGCATATCACTGTAAAAGCTCATTTCAAAAGCAATCTGAACGCCTGCACCACATGGTCCCTCTCAGCATTAAGGAACACAGGGCATGTCATCAGCCTTGTTAATCTTTGCATCAGTACGGTGGTCTGCCAGGTGGGTGCTCAAGGCAAACACATCATTTACCTAACAGCCTAAGGGATTGGGATTTAGAACTCAAAGATCATCTTTTCTCTGAATTTAAAAATAGTCTGGCTGCATATATTAGGTGGTATTTTGCCATCACTCCACTACCAATAATCTTGTTAAAGAATTGAAACGAATCGTCTAATTCTAATTTGAAAATGTTTAGAAACTAAAAAAGTCTGCTTTCTTCAAAACCAACATAAAGTGCTCATTTATTTTAAATGAAATATTTTGGAAATGGTACCTTTCAATCATTGTATTTTTCTAGTACAGTTTTGATATTTTTGTTTGTGTGATATTGCTTTTTTTAACATGCATTTTCTAGTTCTGCCACTTCTGATTTTTTTCTTGAAAGAACGTATTCTTTGTCCAAACGTTGTAAGTGTATTAGACTACACAATTATGATGAATAATTGCGTTGAGCTTGTGCTCATTTAAAAGCACTCGGTGCAAATGCCTGTTACCTAACAACCCACTTGAGCAATGCAATTACATTACACACCCCGGAGTGCCTTATTGTGCTTATGATCCATATGTTGGTTTAGCATGCAATCTATGAACAGACATATGAATAGAGCAATAAAGACAAGTGCTGTTATTATTGACTAATAGTCTCAAGTGTTTCTAATGGGTACACAATTTATTCTTGCCCAACTTGTTCACATTATGTTGGTCCACAATGGCCCATGTTTCCTATCCTCTGCTCCAGGTTAAGAGTATGATCTGGGTGGTTCACTATGGGCTACATTCTATTAGATGTGATAAGCTTATATGTTATAATTGATTAATCTTTTCATATAGAAAATTGACTGGAATAACTGTTTCTTAATAACTTGAGTTAAAGAAGTACTGTTAGTTCTCAGGATTTTTAATATCACATTAACTCGTGCCCTATATTTGACAAATATGTATTTTTGAAGTGTGAATAATAAAGTTATCGGTAGAAACCCATGCCTGTTTATATTGTGATTGGACATCTCTATCTTAGATCCCTCACAGTCATAGTTATATGCTCAGCATGGGGCAGTCGGCATCGAGAAAATATATAGAGACGAGGAGCAGTGACACAATGTTAATATTTCTCCTCTTCATTTACACTGCGTGCCTTGCTGTGCCAGGACGGACTGAACTGGATTATCTTATCAGTCACTAAATCTTTAACATAAATTTTAAATAAAGCACATAAAAACAGTTATCCCAAGTTCTAGGTACTTTTTAATGTTTTATTCAATGGTGTCATTTCCAAAAGACCCTTCCCATTTATGTTTTTTTTTTTCTGTTAATAGAATGCAGCCCACAGTACAATTGACAGTATACTGCACTTTCCCCACCAAAGTTCTTTGTTAATACAATATATCGACCTGATGATGGAATTAGACTTTCTGAGAGACTTGCAGACTAGCCCAAATTAGCTGTTATTTTATTCTATACAAGTGGTATGTTATACACACTGTGTACAATGTGCAACCAATTCAATTCAACTACACTTTACTACAACGTGCTGAAAGCATGTTCTTAATCTTGGGCATATACAAGTTGTAATGGCTTTCCATGTGTGAGTATCTTTCCGGAGATAAAAGACATAATCTAACAGGGTCATTAACAAAAGTGAGAATTCAAAGTGAATTTCAAATTTAAGATTAAAGTAGCAAAACTGAAAACATAGCCATTTTGGCTATTTGGCCATAAGTTTGAAATTAATGTTGAATTTCTACACGAGTGAATAGCCTTGTAATGCTTTACACACATACATGTGATTGATAAGTTCATTAAATGTGTGATCAAAATTTAGACATCGTATAACAGTTCGTTAGTCTCCCAGCTGTTCCCACAGAATGCCTGCCACTCATGATTTATTTTTAAGAGTAGTGTTTAATTGTTTTTTAAATTTTATGATTATATGCTCTTATATAGTTACTCTCTACATTTTTGTACCCCTATAGTATGTTTATTCTTTATTCTTTAAAGTCCCAGAAACTTTGGATTAATTTTATTTTCTACTTTGTTTTACCTTTGCCTCAAAATTTTGCCATAACATAACTTCTATTAAAAAAACAAAACCTATTATTGTTTTTTTTTAAATTAATTTTTCTAGCTTTTATGTGTTTATTTTCATAAACACATTTAATTATATAAACAATAATCTAAAGCAATAAATGACAAACAAAACAAGACAGTACAAATCCTCAATAACATGTAAATATATATTCTGTAAGAGTATAGCCCAGGTACTAAGCAACAAGAGTAAGGAGCGTGTGTTCCCCTATTCAAAAAATGAATCAGATCTAGAAAATATTTGCCTCAAAAGAAGCCATATTAAAGTGAATGCTATGTTCTAATCGACAAAGATGACTTACTTCAAGTGCCCATTCAGATGTTGGAGGGGTAATCCTCTGTGTCTAATACTAAACCACCATCTTTAGCTACATTCACTAGGCTAATAGCTCATGAGTTCTTAAAAAGTTCTGGCAGCATACCTCTATGCAAAATTAGAACTACTTCTGGGGTCAGACAAAAATCCTTATGGAAAATAGTCTTAATTATTTCCACTATTTTCATCAAAAAATGTAATTCTAGGGCACTCCCAAAAAATATGCAGAAGATCACCAACATAATTACCTAATCTCCAGCACAATTCACTAATTATAGGGGCATATCTATGTATATTTGCCAGAACACTAAACCATTGACACAAAGTGAAAATGCAAAAATATCAGTCATTACTGCACAAAAATAGGGACAAATCTCAGTCATGGTTGGATTACAAGGAAAATGTTTTATATAAGAAACAAGTGAATCAGTAAGATTTAAAACAATACAAACAATTAATAAAAACATTATTTGAGAAGACAACAAACAATTGAAAAATATAATTTCACGGTGAAATATGTATGTCATTATATTGGTTTCACGTTGAATCTGACAGTGAACACTAGTGATTAATCCAATCTATCTTGTTTTTAAAAATTAGTTTTACCCATTAGATTTAACTATCACATACATATTATCACAATTAATCCACAAGACAGCAAAAGGAAATATAAAAAAAAGTTTAATCTATGCCTGAAAAGGAGGTAAACCTACTCCATAGTTGCTGTCCCTGGATCAAACAGTTATCTCTTTTTTGAGATTGCGAGGTCACTGAATATTTTTATATTGGTTCAAATCATAAGGTGGTAAAACTGTATCTTTTCCTCTGAGTCGATATCTTTTTTTATATATGATAATACCATACTGACCTTGCAGCCAGTGACAATGTTCACTGGTGTCAATTATCTTGCCATTTATTCCCAAATCTGTCTTGTCTTTAAATGGCATTCCAGCCACCAACACAACATGTTTAATCATAATAGTTCGTGCAAAATCTATACATGAATAAGAAAGATTTAGTCCCATTCTTCATCTTAAGACAGCCTTCATTTTCCCACTGTCCCCTATCATATCCTATCCTAAAATACCTCCTTGTTGATGGTTACTTTCATAGGCATTGCTAGGAGGGTGCTTTGGTGACTGGCTTTCCAGATATGCGGCTCTTTGGCCACAGATCTTTACAGATTTTGGATGGGGTTGGGGGATATTATAAAAGGAAGATCAAAAGTACAGTGTTCAGTCTGACTAACAGGTCACTGTCAGGACGGGGTGCTGTGAAATACAACTTTTCTGTACTTCACTCTATTAGTGAGGCAGCATGCAGGGATTGAATTGAATACCTGGCTGTGTAGTCCATGTTTGTCTCTGGCTATGACATCTCACTGGATCATGGAGAGCATAAATAGCACTGAAGACTGAAGGGGACATAACATAGCGAGCAGGAATATATCATAATATACCTGTTACAGTAGGGATCATGAAGTTTTCCTTGGGTTCAAGCCCCAGGTGTTTCTAGAACCTAGGAAAACCCTTGGTTGCTTTACCTGCATATGCAATATTGCAGCATCCTGTTTGTCTCTCCTCTCTAAACTTAGTTAAAGTTAAAGCCTAGAAATTTATTGTGAGTGCAGAACTTAAAAGGTAAGTATCTTTTTTCACATTTTTATTATATTGGATAGGTGAATTATATTATATGTATTAATTATGGAGTCCTCCGTGAAATATTATAATTTTTTTTTCAACCATAAAGTAAATAACTTACATGTTTATTTTCATTCGCAGAATGCCTAAAACATGTACAAATACCAGTAGCGTTACATACCTTAACTTTGCTGATCTTCACTGATTAGTGAGATTTCAGTGGAATTAAGAATTCGTTTTAATGTATCCAAGCACCAGTGATTTGAAGTGGTCATGGTGCTTGGAGTCTGTATGTTCAGTGTTTCAATAAGAAATTCTGCACATACAGCAATGCAGAACATTAACGCCATCCTTACCAGCTTTAGAATGGAATAAGAGTTCTGGGCTGCTAATGACAGTTATGTGAATGAATGGCCTCACTCGTCAGCACACATAACATGCTGGTGATGGACAAGCAATGGTGGCATAGCCACCCACTCCGCGCCATCCTTCGTCTCCTTCAGCTTGGCCTTCGGGACGTCCTGTCCTTTGCAGCAAGGGGAGAGACATCTTGAAAGGAAGATTGGGCCGCAGTCAGAATTTGGCCTCTACGTTCTTACACAAACTAGTTTTCTTTACTGCCTTTTTTTATTTTTAAAGGAAAGGAACCATTTTGGTTGGAGCAACCTTTTACTAATTATGAAGGGTGCTGACATAAACTTCTAAACAATCCAATTTCATGGTTTGATTAAACTAATCTAATAATGATAAGTATAACATTTTTCAGATTTTGTATGCATTGTTATATTTTATAAAGCATAAATGTAATCCCTCTGGCTTCCATAAGCTAAATTAAATAATTAAATTTTCTTCTGTCTCCTGATTGACCTCTCTATTAATCTACTTTGATTTCAATTTGCTTCTCCTGTGTTTGTTTCCCTGCGTTATATTTTGCTAATTGTATTTCTGATGACAGATTAAATACGTTACACCCATCTACTGTGGTTTATTCCTCTGAGAATATGAGCTGTAGAGGAGAATTGTATATGTGTGTGTATTTGTGTGCGTACATGCGTACGTGCGTACGTACGAGCGTGCGTGTGTTTAGTGTTAATAGCAGATCTCTTTTTATTTGGTGTCTGTTCTTGCGTTATGGATCAAAATATGCCATAATATATCTAGCAACTGTAAAATAGATTGAGAATGAGAAGGAAATATTCGTTACCAACCCTCAGAATGTTCTGGAGTGCATGGAACAAGTCAAAGCCAAAAACTTAAAATTGAATGAAGCCATATAGTCACGTGTGCATTTTAGATACAGTTGGATGAAAAAAATCTAGCTGGCAGTAAATAAAAAGTTCTAACTGGAGTGTGTTTACATTAAAAAGCCTGCAGGGATAGACTATAGACACCAGAACCACTACACTAAGCTGTAGTGGTTCTGGTGACTATAGTGTCCCTTTAATGTGAGGTAAATTAGAGATTAGTGCCACTAATAATATACTGGATTGCCTGCTTACCACCAGATGAGGACAAGAGGATGATGATGGCTGCAGTCTGGCTCCACTGGTCTGGTGTTAAAACAGGCTCTCCGGAGGCAGTGCTCATAAAAATCAACACTTTAGTGCTCTCTCATCCCATCCTGTCCCTTAGTGCTCTCCCATCCCTTAGTGCTCTCCCATCCTCACTGTCCCTTAGTGATCTCCGCTGCCCCTTAGTGATCTCACCTGCCCACCTTTCCCTTAGTGCTCTACACTGCCCTCCTGTCCCTTAGTGATCTCCTCTCCCTTCCTTTCCCTTAGTGCTCTCCCCTGCCCACCT